AGCCCCCGACAGGACTGCGACTAAACATCCTGCAATCCTACATGTCAGATCCTGTTTGTGACCAAAACTTCTTCAATAATTGCATGAATAAAGAACTGGTGAGTTCGAGGTGCCGATTCAATTGTAAGTCCACGCATACGGCTTCTTTTCTTACACCGGTTCGAATGCGTCGGCTTTTAGGTCTGGGAAAAGCTCCTGTATGGCCTGTGCTTCTTCCACGCGCTTGTTCAGGAGCGAAGGAAGTTTGGCCCACTTGGCTGGAACATTCCTTACGGCTTCAATGAGACTGACCTTCACATCAGCATCCGACAGCTCCAGGTCATCATTTGTTACTCCCCAAATTGCTCCTGTCACGTGCATCCTAAGGCTTGTCCTCTTTCTTCTTCTGTAGTTGTTCATCAATCAATACGATGAGGTGCCCTTCGAGGCCATAACTTACCTGACTGGGGAGTGCAACTACGGAGGCCGCGTCACCGACAACTGGGATCGGCGCCTCCTGAACACCATGTTGGCTGACTTCTACAACAGGGATGTTGTGGAGAAACCTTCTTTTCCCTTCTCACCAAGCGGTGACTATGTTACCCCCCCTAAGTCTTCCTATGATGACTACCTGCGATTTATCAAGGTAAGGCATCACGCCATCCTTCATGATGTCGTCGTGAGTTGCCTTGCAAGACTTTCAAAGCGTAACCATACCTTTGCGCCGTACCAGGAGCTTCCAGTCAGCCAGCACCCAGAAATATTTGGGATGCACGAAAATGTGGACATTTCGAAGGACCTGCAGCAGACCAAGCTGTTGTTTGATTCGCTGCTTCTCACCCAGGGGCGGGGCTCGAAGGGAGGAGGTAGCTCTGGGACTGACAATGCGCTCTATGACATAGCCAATGACATCCTCACTAAGGTACCATGGACTATATCTTTTCACATTTTCCATCTCCAAGAGTGGTCATCTGATTGAATAATATTGCACTGTTTTTTCAATGTATATCATGTGTTTTACAAGTAATATTAGCGTTCATTTAATCCCATCAGATTCCAAATAATTTTGACATAGAAGTCTCTCTCTCGAAGTATCCAGTGCTCTACAAGGAGAGTATGAACACCGTGCTCGTCCAAGAAATGGAGCGCTACAACACGTATGGGCAAACATTTTGTATCGAATTTGATGTCAAGTAAACCACCTCGTTTGACCTGTTTTTCCTTTGCAGGCTTTGTAGTACCATCCGTGTGAGCCTTCAGAACCTGCTCAAGGCCCTTAAGGGTTTAGTGGTGATGGACGCAGAGCTGGAGGGAATTGCAAATAGTTTGGGAGTGGGCAAGGTACCAGAGCAGTGGGCCAAACGCTCGTACCCGAGCCTCAAGCCCCTGGGCAGCTACATTAATGACTTTCTCGCAAGGCTCAAGTTTTTGCAGGTGAGTCACATTTTTCTCGACATGAGGATGTCCTGTCCAATTCGGTTTTCACATGAATCGTCTGTGCTCATAGGACTGGTTCAACACTGGTAAGCCCAGTGTGTTCTGGCTGTCTGGATTTTTCTTCACCCAGGCCTTCCTTACGGGAGCTACGCAGAACTATGCCAGGAAATACAATGTTCCAATTGACCTGTTGGGCTTTGACTTTGAGGTCAACACACACTTTTTTTTTCTTTCTTCAACACAACCTAATAGTCAGTCATGATCGTAAATGCTCATTGCAGACATCGTTCAGTCATTTTATGTGCGATTTTGGGATTTGATCCTTCAGGTTCTACCACTTGATCAATCAGACACGCCTCCGGAAGATGGTGTCTACATTTATGGATTGTTTCTTGATGGTGCTCGATGGGACAAAGAAAGGTAGTGGGGACTGCAGAAGTATCTTTGACAACAATGATCATTATTTGAAGTGCAAGATGACCACCTGAAAAGCAGCATATATAATCTTTTTTTTATTTCTATCTTCAGTGGAGTTTTAGTGGAGCAATATCCCAAAATCCTATTTGACACGGTGCCCATTATCTGGATAAAACCGAGTAAGTATGCATTTGGATGCATTGTGTGCACTGGCATCACGACTACGAATGTTGTCATGATCTCAACTTAATCCTTTCTTTTTCTCACTCTGTCTCTCTATGATTGTTAATTTGTCTCCATGTAGACATTATTTATTTGCTTCTCTTTCTCTTCCATGCAGCAAGAGACATCCCGGATGAGTCTGACAGTCGCTACCTTTCTCCTCTCTACAAGACCAGCGAGAGGAGGGGCACACTCTCTACAACGGGACACTCCACCAATTTTGTCATCCCAATGTTGTTGCCCACCGTCAAGCGCCCTCAACACTGGATAAAGCGTGGTGTGGCGCTACTCTGTCAGCTTGATGACTGAGAGTGTCACAGGCCAATTTGGATTATTTGTTTTTTTCATATCAAAAAGACAAGACAAAGTATGTGCATGTAATTTGGTTTTGGTTTCATGTAGGGGTTGATTCGCAACATATATTTTTCCACTTACAGTGTAGCAACACATGCAGACAGACAATGTAACAATACTCATAAGGAATAGATTCTTTATCCTTTGCAAGAAATACAGTACTAATGTTACTGTGGCTTGCTATGACCGTGGTCATCGTATGTTTATGATGTCTGTGTTTGACTTCCCCATGGTGGCCAAGGGGTACACACTCGAATGGTGGATAGAAATATCATGATGAGCACACTATTTAATTCTTTACATTCTATTTTTTTAGTTTAATTGCATGTTTTTTTAAATGACATGCAATACTACAGAGTGCTCGCATTGAGCTGCTAGCCATTAGCCTCAGGCCGTACTTTCTCCCATGGGAATTTTCACACGTCATAGCTGTGACGGTGTACGTTCCCCCATCGGCTAATGGTGATGCAGCGTGTGATGCCCTGATGACTGTCGTGAACAGGCTGCAAACAGTCCCCCAACGCCCTGCTGATCATCTCTAGGGACTTCAACCATGTCTCTCTGTCGTCCTCCCTCCCAACCTTCACTCAGTATGTAACCTGTACCACCAGAGACAATAACATTTTGGACTTGTTTTATGCCAACACCAAGGAGGCATATACTGTACACCCAATCCCCTCCCCCCTCTTGGAAGAGCAGACCACAACATGGTTTATCTTCAGCCTGTGTACAAACCCCTTGTGCACAGGCAGCCAGCTGTGACCCGCATGGTCAGAAGATGGTCCATGGAGGCTAAAGAGGCTCTGCGGGACTGCTTCGACTCAACCAGGTGGAAGCTGTTCAGTGAGGTTCATGGGGAGGACATTGATTCACTCATCTACACCATCATGGACTACATTAACTTTTGTGAGCAGAACACCGTACCCATGAGGACTGCAGTGTTTTTCCAACAACAAACCATGGATTACTCCTGAAATAAAGGCCCTCCTGAAAAACAGGAGCTGAAGACCGTGCAGATCCAGCCGAGGAGAAGGATCAGAGAGGGGATAAAGACCTACAGAATGAAAATTGAGGACCAGCTACAGGCCAGTAATGTTTCTAGTGTCTGGAGGGGCCTGAAAACCATCTCAGGCCAAGACAGAGACTGAGGGACAAGGATTGGGCAGATGATCTAAACCGTTTTTTCAACTGGTTTGACCAGACGTCTGTCCCTCCCCCCCCCCCCCAGCCCCCCCTGCAGTTGCACGCACTCTGACTGTGGACCCCCCCCCCCACCCCCCCATGACCAGCTTCCAACAACAAACAACTGCCCTCTCAACCGACACTACACCCCCAACCCCCAGTCTGTCTCCTGGTTCCTGCCTGTCTGTTACAACAGCGCCGGTGAGGAACCAACTGAGGAGGATGAAGGTGAGGAAAGCAGCAGGTCCAGACAACAGTTCCCGTCTCCTGAGGACCTGCTCCGACCAGCTGTGTGACATTGTCCAGCACATGTTCAGCCTGAGCCTGAAGCTGGGCAGAGTTCCTGGAAAACTTCATGCCTGGTCCCAGTGCCCAAGACCCCCCACCCGAAGTTCTCTGACGACTCTGCGATTGTCGGCCTCATTACAGAGGGAGATGATCGGGAGTACAATAGACTGACGGGGGACTTCGTGGACTGGTGCCAGCAGAATCACCTCCAGATCAACTCTGGGAAAACTAAGGAGTTGGTGGTGGATTTCTGCAGGAAACAGTCCTCACCTGCACCGATGAACATCCAGGGTACGGACATAGAGAGGGTGACCTCTTACAAGTACCTGGGTGTTCTTCTAAACAATAAACTGGTCTACCAACACAGACGCCCTGATCAGGAAGGGACAGAGCCGCCTCTTGCTACTCAGGAAACTAAGGTCTTTTGGAGTTCAGGGGTCACTCCTTAAGACCTTCTACAACTCGGTGGTGGCTTCGGCCATCCATTATGGCATTGTCTGCTGGTCAGCCAGCATCTCGGCCCGGGACAGAGAGAGACTGGAGCGACTGGTCGGGAGGGCCAATTCTGTCCTGGGCTGCTCCCTGGACACTTTGGAGGAGGTGGGCAGCAGGAGGATGCTAGCTAAACTAAAAGCTCTGATGGAAAGTCCCTCCCACCCCCTCCAGCCCACCCTGACAGCACTGGGTAGCTCGTTCAGCCAGACTGTTACACCCGCGCTGCAAGGAGGAGCGATACCGCCGCTCATTCCTACCGACTGCTGTTAGGCTGCTCAATAAACACATACAAAACCTGGACTCACCCCATCCATACATTGTAAATAGCACAGCCACCTTACGCAGCATACATACAGTTGCATATACTTTATATCTATATTTTATATTTTATATTGCATTCTGTACTGTGTACAGTTCATTTTTTTTAGAAACATTTATTTTGTGCATGCAATACTTTGTTTTTCTTTTCTACCCCCACTTCAATTTTGCTGCTGTAGATTGCAAATTTCCCCAATGAGGGACAAATAAAGGTTTTCTTATCTTATTTTTCATGGTTTAAAAAATGTTTAATTTTTTTTAAATAGTGTTTTTTAAGAGGGTTTAATGGTATTTACTTCAATTTCAAAGTTGAAAGGTGAATTGTATTATAATGTGAGTGTTATGAGTTGCAAGCACTACAGTATGTGCTCAGGTTTTTTTTTTTTTTGTAATTTTCAGCAAGCGTAGGGAGAGTAATTCATTCAGAACACATTGCTCTCTTGTCAGATCACGTGAGCTGCAGGCACACGGGGATCTCTGAAGTTAGTCTCCGTTTAGGCAACTTTGTCTTTTCATCTAGTTCAATAGACTGTGTGTTGGCCGTGATGAGTACATGACCTCAAACACCTTAGCGCACTGACTAAAGTAATAATCCCTGGAATTCTGGTGGTTGGTTAAAATTGCACCAATTGATCCGAGCTATGACCTCAGCTATGGATCAAAACTACAGTTGGTGTAATCTGCATGGTAGTCACCACAATCTTATTTATAGTTGAAGAGCTATAAATAGCTGTAGCGCATGAATGCAAGGGTGTCCAACTCCACTGTTGTTCAAGTCCCAGAAGGAGCACAGCCATTCGACTTAAGGTAAACACCACAATATAAACATCTATAAAACAATACGATTGTTATCGCTATTGGCCATGGAATGTTAATGTTGCCAGTTTAATTAGTAGATTCTTTTTTTAATGTGTCCACATTTACCCTTGCTTGTAAAAGGGCATTTTTTTAAACAGTAATCAGTTGCAATGTTATGCATGAATTTACCTTGGAGATGCATGCTTCCTTGTTTATATAAATTCTGCTATCAAGTGGCTTGAGGCAAAAGTTAACTCATGCTGAATTTAGGAAATGGAACATCTGTGAATTTGACCCACTTTTCTTTATTGTTTATTATTTTGGTGATATGCCATGGACATTGACGTCTATTGCAACAACTGAACAATGAGTGTGGCAATACCCTGTTTGGCAGTGCAGTTCAGTCACCCCCTGTTTGGTGATGGGATGTGTGCATCTGAAGGTTGTATCTTCACATAACCAATCAAACACTGACTCTTCCTTGGCAAACAGATGAACACGGAAGCAAAAGAAGCCATTTTTCAATCTGAAGATGACTCGGATCAAGATGAAACAACCCAATCTATCATAGAGGAAAGTCTCATTGAATACAGAAAGCTCAAGGGACTGAATCCAAGGTGATTGTTGATGCAATGTTTATGTCACTGGTTATTATTTCTTGCTTCACCACTTTGTTGATGCAATGTTTACGTCACTAGTTATTATTTCTTGCTTCACCACTTATTTTCTTACTGTAGTCATCTGAAAGTTACCGAAGACCCTGATGATATATTCAAAGCGATTGCGGAGGGTAAGATGCTGTTAACTCTTGCACGTTCCAGTGTCTTCAAGACATTCTCCATCATCCATGCAAATTGCCTCCAAAAATTGGCCAACAAAATATTAAGAATGCAGTGCCATAAAACTAAAAACTATTTAGCATATTTTATTGTTTTTGTGTGATTTGTTTTGGTTTGTTGAATCATGAGGACTTGTCACTCCGGCGAATGTTGCATCAACTTGGGGAAATATTTTAATGTTATGTTGGAGGTCTTAGATGTTGACAGGAGCTACGTTTTTGGGTTGCACAGTAAACACCGGAACATGTAAATTTACTGTGAGGTCCCGATAAGCAACACGAGTTTATTAAACTATGGCCATGACAATTTTCAAAATGTACACACCTCTGCCCTCTTCTCTGCGATTGTCTTTGCGCTGCTGCACTATCTGACAGCGAATTTGCCGACATTGATTCATGCGCCTTCTTGGGAGGGCAGTAGATGACATCCAAAGGAATGGAAATTAGAAGTGCCTGGAGAAATGCAGCTTATGAATGTACCTTATGGATATGCTTTTTTACATGTATGTTGCTCACCCTGCATCTGTGCGCATTCTCTGGTCCTGACTTTCGACATAAGCATCGTGTGTAAAATTGGGCTTTTGGGCGCAACACAGATACCCACATATAACACTGGACTAACGAGCACGCCTTACTCGTAGCAAGAAGTGAAGCCACCGGCGGTCACTTTACGATGCCACACTTTCAGCGTGTATAACTTGAATACAGTACATTGATTTCTCTATTGAGTTTTGGCGTTATTTTCTGTCTCTCCAGCGAAAAAGCAACCGTGTGGCATACGGTTGTAACCACTAAGTCTGGGAGAAGCTCTAAATGTAAATTTTATTGGTAAGAATGAAATGATAAATTCATATCAGAATTTATCATTGATATGATAAATTCATATAAAATTCATATTCATCTGCATCATGGTATCAGAAGAATGAACAATGAAATAACAGCAACAACAACAAAGTCCAAAAAGGAAAAAAATCGCAGTGAAATGTAAACCTTACTTTTGTAAGGCACAATTCACAGAATCTGAATCATCTCTATTGGCAAAGTGTGTATAAAACACAAGGAATTTGTCTCCGGTAGTACAGGTTACATTCGTATTATCAATAACAAGCAAGTACGATAAACAAGGACATGACAAATAATTATCGAAAGAATCTGCATAATGTAAGGGTGCCGTCGTGCACTTGTACCACCCCAGACTGCTGTGAGGCAATGTGCAAAGTATCATGCTGAGCTAAAGTGATCAGTGGTAGAATCGTTGCACCATTTTAAAGTGACCAGTAGCAGTATTTGTAGAACAACTCAAGTGTGCAATTGTACAGAAAGTCCTTGGGCGCTTTGAAGTCTCTGGTGCCAAGCAAGAGAAAGCAGAAGCAGAATATACATCAGTGACAATTGTTCAAGTGCATAGCTGGGGCTACAATGATTATTGTGGTAATACTGTTCCCACAGGGGGGTGCAAAATTGCAACAAGCCACTATAGATTTGGGTTACTGTTTAAGGAGCGAACGGCTAAAGCAGGGGTAGGGAACTTCGGTTCCTCGAGAGCCATATCCTGCCTGTTTTAGATCCCTCCCTACTCCACACACCTGATTCAACTGTTCATGATTGTTTCAGGCCTCTACAGGGCTTGCTGATGAGCTGATGATTTGAATCAGGTGTGTTGGAGTAGGGTGGGATCTAAAACAGACAGGTTATGGCTCTCGAGGAACCGGAGTTCCCTACCCCTGGGCTAAAGGGAAGAAGTTGTTTGAGAATGTCTGCTGGATTTGGTGCGCAAGGATTGGTAGCGCTTGCCCGAGCTGGAAAAGGTGGTGGGCAGAGTGTGGGGGGTCCAGGGGGATTTTCTGTGCCCTTGTCTTGGTTCTTGTGGTGTGTCCTCAAGAGTGGGCCGGTCGGTGCCAATGATTTTTTTTTTTTCTGCAGTCCTAATTGTCCGTTGCAGTCGGATGTTGTCCCTTTTGTGGCGTATGTCATAATACTGAGATAATATATTGTGAATGGTTGATGCAGCCAGAAACGTTCTCCCTCTGTTAGGCTCTTGTTACTCCATATAGGGATCCTCGTGTTCAAAAAATGCACTGAAAACAATGTTTTCAGCGAAAACAATAAGTTGACAGTAATGAGGCAACACAAGATGGCTGCCCTCTTGCTTCAACCGCAAGAGGTTATTACTGTAGATACGTCCATGGCGCAACCACCAAAGAGGCATGACTCAGCCTGGGGCTGGCTGTAAATTATGGCGCATGGAGTTTTCTCGAGACTCGTGAATGTCAAAGAATCCCAGAAAATGGAGAAACTCAAGATAGCACACCTTGCATCTAAAAAAATAAAGCCACTGTATTTTTACGCAGATTATGCAGTAAGATTGATGCACTGCAAACAAGGAACTCCAGTAAGACTTGGACTTATTTGATACCTTATTACAGATGCATTTCCAATGTTTCGGAGATTCTATTAGTTCCATAAGTATTTGCGCTAGAGTTTGGGGTATTTTTTTTTCTGTACACTTCATGTAATAATCAATCTTGTGTGCCAAGCCAGAGGATGCTTTTCATGCCCTTTCTTCAAACATACATGCCTTCATGTATTAATGTCTTCCTACAGGTGATGAGGGTGCAGTCAAACGACTAATGGAACAACCAGAGGCTCTGTCCAAAGTTAATGAGCATGGGTGGATCCCTCTGCACGCAGCTGCAGTGCAGGAGAGTAAACACATACTCAAGATCATCTTTTCAGGTATAGTCATTTACGCTTTTAGTCATGTATGACTAATGTTTGACCACACACAGCTGTTGTGCTGATGTCAACTCTTGTTTGGGTTTCAGCTTCACCATTTGGGGCTGCCCAATGTCGCACATTCAAGGGGGAGACACCATTGTTTTTAGCGGTAGTCTATGGCCGTAGGCACAACTCCACATTCCTTTTACAAAATGGCTGTAACCCCAATCTCCAGGACGATGAGCAAGATTCTCCATTAATGGCAGGTAGTTCCTGTATTTCTATAAAAATGAGTATTTTCCTTCATTTTGATGTCTCTGTTGCTCCTTATTTCTCAGCGATTCTAAATGACCAGTACGACCTGGCAACACTATTGCTCCACTACGATGCTCAAGTGGATCAGCTAGGCCCGCTAAGCAGGACAGCGCTGCATGAGGCTGCCTTCCTTGGCCTGGAGAACTTTGTCTATCTGCTGCTTGAGTCCGGTGCCAACCCAAATGCGTGTGACATAATGAAGAAAACACCACTTGCTCTGGCTACACAAAATGGGCATCTAAATGTGGCGGAGCACTTGTTACTGAAAGGTAGCGATGAGCTGGCGTAAACGGAATTGGATATGAGCAGATGTTAAATGTATTTAATGCCTCTGTTTTCAGTGGCTATAAAATGTCTTTCTTTCTTCATTTCCACACTGATTAACATATATTTTGTTCAATCATAGCGCAAATGGAATGTTTGTTTTGTAGGGGCAAATGTTGAGTGTGAATCCGAGTCTGGCAGTATCTTGTTTGAGGCAGCAACATCAGGAAACCCCGATGTAATATCATTGCTGTTGGACCATGGAGCAGATGCTAACTTGCCCTCATACAGTGGCCACCTGCCAATTCACTGTGCGGCATACCACGGTCACATACTGTGAGAAACATTGTGCTCTTCCCTTTTTCGTTGTACCCACGGCTTTGTTCTTACCCCACCTGTTCTTTGACAGGGCATTGCAGCGTCTCATCCCAGTGACTAAACTGTGTGCAATAAAAGAGAGCGGGATGAGTCCTCTTCACTCTGCGGCTGCTGGAGGGCATGCACATTGCTTGGAGGTGCTGCTCAAAGCTGACTTTGACCCAAACCAAATGTTACACCCGAGGATGCGACGCAACTATGATGATGAACGCAAGTCTGCCCTTTTTTTCGCTGTCTCCAACAATGATCTTCAGTGTACTCGCCTGTTGCTGGAGGCAGGGGCAATGATGAACCAGGACCCTGTCAGTTGTTTACAAGTGGCAATGAGACAGGGCAACTATGAACTCATCAATACCTTGCTGAAGTTTGGGGCAAATGTAAACTACTACTCTCGCGTCAACACCACCCACTTTCCCTCTGCCCTGCAGTATGCATTAAAAGATGAAGTCATGCTGAGAATGATTTTGAACCACGGCTATGACGTAAAGCGATGCTTCGATTGCCCGTATGGTGACAGTTGCCATGACTTGGCTCCCTGGACAACATCGGTCATCAAAGATATGGTGGTGAGATGGGTCAGAAATCGTGGAAAGCAGCAGTCCCCAACCACCGGGCAGCGGACCAATTCCGGTCTGCTGCCCGGACATTTGGTACTGGGCCTGTAAAAGTTGGCTACAGCCGACACGTGGAACTGATTAAGCAGACGTAACAATTCATAGGCAGTTCAGTAGTCTTTAATCAACCAAAGGCGCACTTAAATGTGATATGCCAAACAAAAGTATAAAAGAAATTATGGCAAAAGGTTGGCGCGTGTTAGAAACAAATATTTTGTACTATAACAAAATCAACGAGAAACCGGTTCAGGGTGTCCCATGCCTACTGCCCGAAGACGGGTTGTGTTGGGCTCCAGCATGCCCCGCGACCCTTGTGAGGATCGAGTGGATAAGAAAATTAATGGATGGATGGATCAACCAGCACTGGAACAAAACAATATCGGGACCTCCAGCATGGTGGTCACTCCGTGTCCAGAATGTGCGCAATGTCACGTGTAAAATATCTGTATCAATAGTCCGACTTAAAATATGGGTTTATCGTCCGCATGGACAAGCATGCAAATGAGGCAATGAGGAAGCCTTTACAACTGCCATAAAAAGAAGCACAGAATAAATAACGTCCATGTCCAACATCCCATCTTTGTGGAGATGGATTTTCTGCCATGACAGCAACTGGAATACAATTGGAGTAGACTGGACATGAGTAAAACATTTGCACATCATTGTCTCCCATTACCCTCAAGAGAAACAAGCACAGAGCTTCCACTAATTACAAGCGTAATGCATAAACATTATGTTGGGTTGGATTATTAATCATTTCGATTGTTTTTAGGATGATAAATTACAGTGGTGCCCTAAGAAAGTAGTGACTTGATTTTTGAGATTTTCGAGATACGACCTCTTGTTCGGCTGATTTTTTTTTTTTTTTTTGCTTTGACTTGCGAGCACAAACTTGAGATACAAGCATTGTATTGTGGCATCGAACGCAACTCAGTCGACTTCGCAACAAGCAGTAGTGTGGCAAATAGTGAACCACTCTTGGGGTCAAACTAGTTATTGCCATTTGTAGCTGAAGGTTATAGTCAAAAGAAATAGAATTGTGTTGTGTATTGAAAACAACCACATAGTTTAGCTTTTAGTCTGTTAGCTTACTGCTAATGCTAACACATAATGGGGAACTCCATTGGTGTACTAATGCTAGCTCTAAATAGCATTTATATTGTGGTGTTACAGCCCTTTTAACAGTAAATATATTTAACCCAAACAACACAAACAGATAATATGAAAATACTGACAGTCATATATTCTTTATCCTGTACAAAGAAAACGGTCGCCAGACATTCACCTGTACTTTCCTTTTCGCTAGGGATTCTGAACATGTTCAAAATTTCCTTGTGACAAGAAAAAAAAACTCTAAAACTGTGGCCGATTGTCTACTGAACCTTTGGTGAACGAACCCTGACAAGCGAACGACCTTAATTGTACTGCGCTTATTGTAGTGCCATTATTCTTATTTCAAAAGTGTTTTGCATTATGCGCTTGCTCACAGAATAAATTTAACTTGTATCTCAAGGCACCACTGAATTGCTTTCCATGAAACGCGTCCATGGTGCAAAAAAAAAAAACGGTTGGGGACTGCAGATGTAGAGGAAATACATTCTCAGGATGTTTCAGTGTTCGTGACTTGATATCCTGTTGTTTCCCATAGTTTTGTGAGATGATAACAGTGTCCTGGCTCAAGCAGTTATCTGCTCAGGTGGTGCGAATCATGCTCGACTACACCAACCATGTCTCCTTCTGCGCCAAACTGAGGGAAGTCTTACAGGAGCAGAAGCAATGGCCACAGATCTGCCACATCCAAAGTTTGCACTTCCTTGTTACCTCCTGAGCCATTTATAGGCATTGTTGACCTCAAGTGATCTTCTTGATTTGATTGTTTCCCAGGAAATGCGCGAAGCTTAAAGCACCTGTGCCGGCTGAAGATTCGAGAGCACCTTAATGGACTACGTTTGAAAGCACCTGTTTTCATCACTTACCTCCCTCTTCCCCCCATGCTGAAAGAGTACCTACGTTACAAGGAGTTTGATGTGTACCACAGGGGCAGTACAGATACAGTGTGTTCAGTCATGTCATAAACGCTTCAGTTCCATTATATTGTACCAAGTTGCATGACATTGTCATTCTCCATGTGATTAAAAGAGTCTTTAATGGATATGATCCATGACTGTATCACTACCCTACAGATCGTGCCTACAGTATTTTGCTCCTTATATTTGATGCACGACCGCTCACAGTCGATAGTCTTGAATGGCACCCTTTGCGACAACCAATGGCAAGTATTACCATTGACAACATTTACAGTACATATTGTATGGATGTGGCAAATTGAAACGATTTGTGAAGATGCCTCATTCACTTGGTCCTTGGAGAGCTGTCATCAACCACAAGATGTTGGATTAACACTGAACCATTGTCTGTGAATGTATTCTGTCAGTCTAATTCAATTTTTCCGAATATCATTTGATGATTTTAGGGCTATTACAATGGCCACATCCAATATGGCAGATGCGATGACCATATCACTTTGAACAGGCCATCCGGTTCAACAGGTGTCCACAGCAGAAATAAAAAGGAAAATAAAATTGCTCTTCATTTTATATGTCCAAAGGGTTTGTGGTTTCCTTTATGAAATGTGTTCAAATGGCTCTTTACTTGCCATCCTCAATGTAACATGTCCCTCCTCAGTTGCGCACTGCGATTGGGCCAGAGACAGTCTAAATGCATTTACACCTTAGTCGTTTGAACTCCCCAAAAGCCTACAGGGGGGCAAAGTCATCCCTCCGTGTGTTTTTCAGAGCCAGATGGTCAACTCACGATGCAATTAACTTTGTCTTCTGCCCCGAGAAAGAGCTGATTTCATCCAAAGGGGGAGCCATAAACCTTTTACAGTAGTCCTTGGAATGTCCAACCTCTGACGACCCTTTTGTGCTTCTGCTCTCTGAAGATGGCAACAGGTCTATGCAAAAGCTCTGTCACCCTAAAATCAGAGTTTAAAACAAAACTATTGTCATGTTGATGTTATTATATATACGAGGGCAATTCAATAAATAAGGTGAATATTTCGATATAAGGACTTCTAATACAGACAGAAACATACTTTTTTTTTATCTTTTTCAACGTCGTCTCCCAGCACTGTGAAACACTTTTCCCATTTGTGCACATCTTCCATACTCCCTTAGCGTAAAAATCTTTTGACTGATGTCTGAGCCAGTCGCTCACCTGATATTATACCTCAGTCTATTAAATACAAAATATTGGGGTGATGTTTTATTTTTATCAGTAAATGTTGGCACAAGTTGAGATGTCCACATACATTTTGCTGACGAGTGATTGCAGTTGTAACGAATATCCCGCAAGTGGACCATCCTCTCCAAGACCCCCACAGCCGAGGCTGCTACACCATGTCTGTCACCAGGGAATCTTCCTACTTTGTGTTGACAAATGCTCATTCTCAGAAAGAAATAATCTTATAATAAGGAGACGTACTTTGTCAACCGAGAAGCTTCTGCAGACAAATCAAACTGCCCTGGCTCAGACATTGTGGCATTTTCCAGCTTTGAAGATGCCGAACTCCTCATAGACCTCCATCGCATCCACACAGCGGTTGGAGGGTTGGCATATGGCACTCAAACCAGCTTGGCATTGCTGGATCAAGAGTGACCCCAAGAGAAGGACATGTAAACTGCAGCTATGACTTTGCGATGCAGTTTCTGTCAATCATAATAACACTAAAATGCATTCCATGAATGTATGCTCATAGAACATTTACTGTGCTTATCCTGTTAACTTTGCACAGATGAATCTGCTCAGGAATGATAATCATCATTTTCCGAGTCATGTTGATGGCAGATTGGTGAAGACGTATTATCGAATATAGGCCCTAATTGCATGAACCTCGAAGACCAACTCGAATGGGTTCAAATGAGATGCCTCAGTGTGAACTTGATGCAAATTATAAATTGTGAAATGTACAAAGGTTTTAAAAAGACAGGGAAATAGACTCAAATCTATGTAACCCCTCAAATCAACCACCTATCATCCCTTTGCCACCCGAGGTAAAAATGTTTAGAGCCGCCATTAATTGCAGAGAAGTGTTTAAAAAAAAAAACTAAATAAATGTTTGAAAACAAACAGCTCTAAAAGATGAGGTGGAAATGTAAATGCTGAAGTGTACCTAAATGCACTCAATTGGATGTCAAAAAGGAGAAGCTGTTGCAAGATTATGGACACTTTGAACATGTAATTAAGTGATACATTGGAGTACGACGACAGAACCCGCATGCTACTCGTGTTCGCTACTATTTTTCCTTATGACAAAGGAGGCACACCGTTAATCCCATTTAATTAGAACTGTGATCAATATTTGTGAACATATCCTCACAAGGGTCGCGGGGGGTGCTGGAGCCGATCCCAGCTGTCTTTGGGCAGTAGGCGGGGTACACCCTGAACAACCATTCACACTCACAGTCATACCTAGGGACTATTTGGAGTGTCAAATCAACCTGCCATGCATGTTTTTGGAATGTGGGAGGAAATATCCTATGTTTATTTGCATTATAATTAGCAACATTTGTTTGGTTTCACAAAAACAAGTAATGTGAAGCTTGATCCTAACTTTATTTTCAGTTAGAGGCTCAATTTGAAATGTGTGTAATGATGCTTATATTTGCACATACACAGTTTTTCTACCTGATCATATATCTTTGATTTGTACTGTATTTAATGTCAGAACAAATCATCTTTGATAGCTAATGATTCTGTTAGTCATCAAGCTGACAAAGTAGCGCCACACCGCGCTTTATCCAGTGCTGAGGGCGTTTGGCGGTGGGCAACAACATCGGAATGACAAAATTGGTGGAATGTCCTGTTGTCGAGAGGGTGCCCCTTCTCTCGCTAGTCTTGTAGAGAGGAGAAACGTAGCGACTGTCAGATTCATCTGCGATGTCTTTTGCTGCATGAAGGAGAAAGATAAGCAAAGAAAATATGAGCACTGACAGCAATGAGACAAAGTAAGAAAGGTTAAGATCCCGGAGGAATAAAAACACAAAATGGCTGTTATCCCAGTGTACATCCAAATGCATACTTACTCGGTTTTATCCAGATAATAGGCACCGTGTCAAATAGGATTTTGGGATACTGCTCCGCTAACACTCCACTGATAATAGAAAAGACACAATTAGATTTTTTTAAGCTGCTTTTCAGGTGGTCATCTTGCACTTCAAATAATGATCATTGTTGTCAAAGATACTTCTGCGGTCCCCACTACCTTTCTTTGTCCCATCGAGCACCATCAAGAAACAATCCATAAATGTAGACACCATCTTCCGGAGGCGTGTCTGATTGATCAAGTGGTAGAACCTGAAGGATCAAATCCCAAAATCGCACATAAAATGACTGAACGATGTCTGCAATGAGCATTTACGATCATGACTGACTATTAGGTTGTGTTGAAGAAAGAAAAAAAAAGTGTGTGTTGACCTCAAAGTCAAAGCCCAACAGGTCAATTGGAACATTGTATTTCCTGGCATAGTTCTGCGTAGCTCCCGTAAGGAAGGCCTGGGTGAAGAAAAATCCAGACAGCCAGAACACACTGGGCTTACCAGTGTTGAACCAGTCCTATGAGCACAGACGATTCATGTGAAAACCGAATTGGACAGGACATCCTCATGTCGAGAAAAATGTGACTCACCTGCAAAAACTTGAGCCTTGCGAGAAAGTCATTAATGTAGCTGCCCAGGGGCTTGAGGCTCGGGTACGAGCGTTTGGCCCACTGCTCTGGTACCTTGCCCACTCCCAAACTATTTGCAATTCCCTCCAGCTCTGCGTCCATCACCACTAAACCCTTAAGGGCCTTGAGCAGGTTCTGAAGGCTCACACGGATGGTACTACAAAGCCTGCAAAGGAAAAACAGGTCAAACGAGGTGGTTTACTTGACATCAAATTCGATACAAAATGTTTGCCCATACGTGTTGTAGCGCTCCATTTCTTGGACGAGCACGGTGTTCATACTCTCCTTGTAGAGCACTGGATACTTCGAGAGAGAGACTTCTATGTCAAAATTATTTGGAATCTGATGGGATTAAATGAACGCTAATATTACTTGTAAAACACATGATATACATTGAAAAAACAGTGCAATATTATTCAATCAGATGACCACTCTTGGAGATGGAAAATGTGAAAAGATATAGTCCATGGTACCTTAGTGAGGATGTCATTGGCTATGTCATAGAGCGCATTGTCAGTCCCAGAGCTACCTCCTCCCTTCGAGCCCCGCCCCTGGGTGAGAAGCAGCGAATCAAACAACAGCTTGGTCTGCTGCAGGTCCTTCGAAATGTCCACATTTTCGTGCATCCCAAATATTTCTGGGTGCTGGCTGACTGGAAGCTCCTGGTACGGCGCAAAGGTATGGTTACGCTTTGAAAGTCTTGCAAGGCAACTCACGACGACATCATGAAGGATGGCGTGATGCCTTACCTTGATAAATCGCAGGTAGTCATCATAGGAAGACTTAGGGGGGGTAACATAGTCACCGCTTGGTGAGAAGGGAAAAGAAGGTTTCTCCACAACATCCCTGTTGTAGAAGTCAGCCAACATGGTGTTCAGGAGGCGCCGATCCCAGTTGTCGGTGACGCGGCCTCCGTAGTTGCACTCCCCAGTCAGGTAAGTTATGGCCTCGAAGGGCACCTCATCGTATTGATTGATGAACAACTACAGAAGAAGAAAGAGGACAAGCCTTAGGATGCACGTGACAGGAGCAATTTGGGGAGTAACAAATGATGACCTGGAGCTGTCGGATGCTGATGTGAAGGTCAGTCTCATTGAAGCCGTAAGGAATGTTCCAGCCAAGTGGGCCAAACTTCCTTCGCTCCTGAACAAGCGCGTGGAAGAAGCACAGGCCATACAGGAGCTTTTCCCAGACCTAAAAGCCGACGCATTCGAACCGGTGTAAGAAAAGAAGCCGTATGCGTGGACTTACAATTGAATCGGCACCTCGAACTCACCAGTTCTTTATTCATGCAATTATTGAAGAAGTTTTGGTCACAAACAGGATCTGACATGTAGGATTGCAGGATGTTTAGTCGCAGTCCTGTCGGGGGCTCGTTTGTCATTTTTACTCCATTCTGAAGAAGAGTCACTGGAAACTGGTTTCACAGAGGCGGCGGCTTCAGGGCCCGAACCAGACAAATCCAAACTGCTGCACATCAGCTTGCACTTTACCTTGGGCGAAGGGTAGCTTGTGAGCCAGAGCCGGAAGTCTTCGTGGCATGTTGCAGGACTAAAGTCCTCGCAGATCTTCTCCAGGGTGGACATCCAAGACACAGCCAGATGACAATTCTGCAAACACACCCATGTCCCATTCTGCATGGCTGTGGAGATCATTTTGGAAGCGATGGGTCCTTGGCCCTGCCCCAGAGAAATGGACTGGAAATTGTTGCCACCCATGTCCTTGTCAGTTGCAAACTTCAGTAAGCCTGTGAAGCGTGAATGTGTCATGAAGCTTTGAGCGGCAGTGCTACAGGA